ATACTACATTGAGGAAATTGTAATCATTAAACAAAATGAAGTTTATGATTTGTTGAATATAAAACTGATGATCTGCTCTGTAAACCTCCCTCAATTCACAAAGTTAAAAATACATACGAACAAGAATACTAGAGATTTTTTAAAAAGGAAACATACTGCATTGGAAAAAAATATGCAAAAGACCTTTTAAAAGTGTTTAAGAGCAAAAATGTCAGTTTGAGGACTAATGTGCAGCTGACCCAAACCATGCATGGTATTTTCAGTCACCTCATATACATGTGAAAGTTGGACAGTGACTAAGGAAGACCATAGAAGAATTGATGCATTTGAATTGTGATGATGAATAATATTGGAAGTACCATGGGCCTCCAGAAGAACCAACAAATCTGTCATGGAAGAAATACAGCCAGAATGCTCCTTGGAAGTGAGGATGGTGAGATTTGTCTTTAGTACTGTGGACATGTTGGAAGGACCAGTCTTTAGAGAAGGAAATCATGCTTGGTAAAGTGGAAGGTCAAAGTGAAAAAGACCTCCAACAAGGTAGATTGAAAAAGACATCAACAATGGACCCAAATTAGTCAGAACCAACTTGATGGCATCTTACAACAAAAACTTTTTTTTTTAAGTTGTCATAAAGTGAATTCCTATTCATTGTAACTATCCCACAGGTCTGTTTAAGAGGGATGAAGAAAAAGGATTAAAAGAACGTTTAGCATTTGTTCCAATAGTGACATCAGCGTGACCAAGTCAACTTCATTTTCATGATACTGGGGAATAAAACAGGTTTGTATACAGACATATATTGTACTGTCAAATCCACAAGGAGAAAGCATTTCAGATAAAACCCAAAGACTTCACCAAGAAAATAGAGATCCTATAGACTGGGAAAACATTTTTGATAATGACATATCTAATGAACTAAATCTCTAAAATTTATAGAAAACGTCAACACCTCAACAAAAAGATGAAGCAATACAATTAAAACATGGGCTAAAGACATGAACAAACTCTTCACTATAGACAACATTCAAGCAGCCAGCAAACACGCATAGGGTGTCTGCATTTATTAGCCAGCAGAGACATCAAACTACAGTAAGATACCATCTTACACCAACAATAATGGTGGTGATCAGAAAAACAAAAGGCTGTGGGGAGATTGGAGCTCTTACATACACTGCTGGTGGGACTGTAAAATGATAAAACCCATATGGAAAACAGTCTAGAAATAGAAGTGCCATATGATCCAATAGTCCCATTCCTTGGTATATAACCTAGAAAAATAAGAGTTGAACACACCTGTATTCACAATAGTTAAAAAATGGAAACAAATATGCATCAACAGATTTGTTCATGAACTCTGAAACTGTGTATACAATGGAATACTATGCATGATAATAATGACTCCACAAAACTACTGACAACATGGCTAAATCTGGAGGAAATTATCCTTAGTGAAATAAATCAGTCACTCAAGGACAAATATATGAGACAACTGATATAAAAATTTGCACACAGGAAGAAATACTCTTTATTACCAGGATAGGAGGAAGGAGAGAAAATCACTAATTAGTGGTTACGAATTGGGCTGCGAACCTTAAGGTCAACAGTTTGAAACTACCAGCTGCTCCACAGGAGAAAGATCAGGCTTTCTACTACCATAAAGATTTACACCCTCGGAAACCCTGTACAGGGTCGCTATGGGTCGAAACTGACTCGACGGTACTTAACAACAACAACAACTGACTGCCATCAAGTCAATTCCAACCCATAGCAACCCTGTGTAGGGTTTCCAAGGAGCAGCTAGTGAGCTTGATCCATCTACCTTACAGTTCAAACAACTTTGCATTTGCCCACAGCAACACACCAGGACTCAAATTAGGGAGTACACAGTGTTAAAGTGAAGGGGGGAGGACAATATACAACATGACCAAGGCAAATCGAAGACACAAAGGTATGCAAGAATAAAGGACAACTGAGTCCTGGTGTGCTGTACAGTAAGTAGACTGCAGGTCGGCAGTTCAAACCCACCAGCCACTTCTCCAAAACTATATAAGGTTGCTATGAGTCAGAACTGACTCAATAGCACTTAACACAGGAAATGCTGTGGCTCTACAGAATAAGCAGTAGACTACTAACTACAGGGTCAGTGGTTCGAGCCCACCAGTCACTCTGTGGGAGAAAGATGAAGCTTTATGCTCCCATGAAGTTTTCAGAAGCCTTATACAGGATCTCTATGAGTCAGAACCAACTCAATGGTTTCCAACAAGTGGCTGGGGGCTTTGAACCACCAGTCTTGTGGTTAGCAGTCCAGTGCTTAACCTATAGCACCACACCAGGACTCGGGTTGTGGGTGTTTTTTACATGCACATTTGTAAATGCTACAAGTATACCTTTACAATACAACTTTGCAGCCTGATGCATTTGCAAAGAGAGCATATAAGAGGCAGTTATAGAAACTACTTAGATACTAGGACTGAATCACTGAAATTGAAGTTTAAGGACCATAGACTCAGGAAGAGTCAGTTGACAAAACACAGTTCATAAAGATAATGTGCACCCACAATCCTTTGCACTCTTCCTTTCCAACCTGATTCTATCACTCTGGCGGGAAGAAGGGTCATTCTGCTATCAACGAAGTGGTGACCAGAGAGTGCACCATCAACATTCACAAGCCCATCCATGGAGTAGACTTCATGAAGCATGCCCCTTGAGCACTCAAGGAGATTCGGAAATTTGCCATGAAGGAGATAGGAATACTAGACGTGTGCATTGACACCAGGCTCAACAAAGCTGTCGGCCAAAGGAATCAGGAACGTCCCATACCGTATCCAGGTGCGGTTGTCCAGAAAATGTAATGAGGATGAAGATTCACCAAACAAACTCTATACACTGGTGACCTTTGTGCCTGTCACCACTTTCAAAAACCTACAGTCGGTGTGGGTGAAAACTTAACAGTTTATGATCAAATAAATTTATAAATCTGCCTTCAAAAAAAAATAAAGATACTGTGTTACTTCCCAGTCTAGTGAGTAGCCTATGGGGTCTTAAAAGCTTGTAAGCAGCCATCTCATAAGCAATGATTGATGTTTTCCTGGAGTAAAGAGAGTGAAGAAAACCAAAAACATGAAATAACTAGCCCAAAGGACTAATAACCCACAAGGAACCAGCTAGATGATGCCTGGCTATCACTATCAACCACTGTGACCAAAACCACAATAGAAGGTCTCAGTTAGAATGGACAATAAATGTTGACCCAAACTCAAATTTAAATGTGAAAATGCAGGCTATTGGTGTGTAAAACAAACCCATGAGTCTATTGTGCAAGACAACTTGTAACTTGAACTGTAGGCACTAACAAAAGCCACCTTTCAGCTAAATAATAGACCCCAAACCCACTGCCATCAAGCTGATTTCGATTCATAGAGACTCAGTAGTAGGTCTGCTCTCCTGGAGCCCAGCTCATAGTCTACTATGCTACCAAGCCTTCTTTAAACAATAGCCAGGCATATAAATAATACTCAAGAGTGGACAAGTTTTCCCAAAACTAGAAAAGGCAGGAACGGATAGGGAAATCGGTGAGGAAAATGGAGTGCTCTGTCTTGTGCTCTGGTTCTTGGTTCTGCTGCTCCTGGTCCTCAGCCACTCCTCAATGCACTGGAGTCCAGAGGACACCCTCTGTTCCTGGCTATTCTTTAATGGTAGGGAGAATCCTCTTCCTGCTGCTTAGATGGTTCATTTTGCACACATGCTAGAGGTTCAGGTGTTTACAATTAACTCTGCCAACATACACAGCTGAATCATGTCATCCTAGCAGTATCATTTCTCTCCTTCTCTGACCCAGACCCAGTAGAGTAGAAACTTTTGTTGGGAGTTACAAACTATGAAGAGATGTTAAATAATTCACTATACCACAGGCTGTGTGCACGTTGCATAGCAACCAAATTATCTTGATCAGCTGGTTCAAAGATCTTGGGCCAACCCTTTCACTTTGAATGTGTGTCATTCTCCAGAGTCCTGGCAATAATCCAAATAACCGTGTTTGTTGAGCAGTGGCTGAGGACCAGCAACAGCAGAACCAAGAACTGGAACACAAGACAAAGTAGTAGACTTCCCAGGCCTCATCAGGCTTCTGAAAGGACTCACTACACCTCTTCTGAGTCTCCCAAGGCTTCGATGCATAAATTGTCCTGTTCCAGTTATCATTTTGTTATACCCACAGTTTTCAAATTTGAGTCTGCTTTGATTTCACTACATAGGTCATGACTAAACCAGTGCAAACCAGCTTGGATCCCTGGTTTAAATATGTGAAGAGCTTTTATTAATCATACTGGCAGTTGCTTGTTTTAATCAGAGAGGCAGAGTTTGGTGTGTTCACAACTATAACAGTTGGAGAGAAAGGAGCAGAGAAATTAAACTAAAATAACCATCTAGAATATATGATTTTTTAAAATAATTGTTAGCACTTTGCTGTACTTCTGCAATAATCAGGAGGGGGAAAGTTGTAACCCTTTTCCCTTAGCAGCCTAAAGAAAATTCTCTGGAAAGCATAAGGTACTGATCAACCAATAGGATCCATGGCTTTGTTTTAAATTTTAAAATGTGCCTGCATCCCTGGATGATGCAAATGGTTAATAGCCAAAAGGCCGGATATTTAACCCCACCCAGAGGTACACGAATCGGGCTGTGAACCACAAGGTCAGTAGTTCGAAACTACCAGCTGTTCCAGGGGAGAAAGATGAGGCTTTCTGCTCCTGTAAAGATTTACAGACTTGGAAACCCTGTACAGGGTCACTATGAGTAGGAACCGACTCCATGGCACATAACAACAACAAGCGGTATATTGGAAGAAATACCTGGTGATACGATTCCAAAAAAATCACTCATGAAAACTGTGGAGCAGTTCTATTCTGACACACAAAGTGTCACCACCAGGAGTCAGTAGACTCCACTGGCTACTTTTTTTTAACGAAACTAATGTGTTTGCCTCCTTTTGCCACCAGGGGGCAGACCGGGCCGTTCCTGTTCTGATCATTGGCATCCTGGTGTTCCTGCCAGGATTCTACCACCTTCGAATCGCCTACTATGCATCTAAAGGCTACCGGGGATACTCCTATGATGACATTCCAGACTTTGATGATTAGCACCCACTTTGTGCCAGAAAAGAGTCATAGATGAGAATGAATCCAATTTAAGACATTGTGCAGAAACTAGCTAAGGGCTAAGGTATTCTGTAGTTTGCAGATGTGAAACAAAGCTATGGCCAGATTATATAGGTTTATCCCAAAGATGTTGACTGAACTTGCAGGTAACTAATTAGGACATGCTTTATTTTTCATCTCCTGGACCTGACAAACCTTTGGCAAGTGTTTCCACATGAGTCTGTATCATGGAAGAATAGTGACGTTCATTGTATGAAGAAACAGGAAGCTATTCTGTAGTAGAACGTGTTGTAGCCACCGTCCTTTTTAGAGTTGAACATTCTTTTAAATAATTATCTTTGTTCTTTTGTTCTTGTGGCAAATGGAAAAATGCAGTATGTCTTTTTTTTTAAAAGTTATTTTGAAGTTAAAGAATCTTAACCACTACACTTATCTGTAACTTTATGTTCTAGTGGATGTTACACAAGAAAATCTAGTGAGATACTAGATTGGTAAAAATCAAATGTCAGTATGACCACATGTAGAAGACATTTTTTACTTGCTTATTTATAGCACCAGGAATTTTTAAAACCTCCAAACAGATTTTCAGAGAAAGCTTCAAAAAGTTCTTGGACAATTTCATGATTTTTAAATTCCATTTACTACTAATGTTTTGAAGTCGCATCGTAAATATTTTCTTTGTTCACCATTTCTGACCTGGCTCACTGAAAGGCTGGCTAGCATGTAATTTGAGCCATTCTTTTATGTCATGCCTTCCAGGACTGGATCTTAGGCAGTTTCCTGATGAAAAATAAGTAGTTATTATCTGGAGTTATATACCTTATCATTTGCTAATTAGCTGGAGATCAGAAGACAGCCTAGATCACCAAAGAACAATCAAACTCCATTTGATTACATTTCCTAGCTTGCAAAAAAAAGTGGCATATTCAAAAGAAATTCAAATGTCAAACTCCAAGTCTCAGACTTAAGATGAGTTAACTTTCAACGTATTTCAGAAAACCTCTTCAAAACTCTGTGATACCTTTGATACCAGTACACAAGGCTCCCATTATTTTTACATAACTAGCACTGCTCGTCAGGTTCTGCCTCTCACTCATTCTTGGACTCTGAGATTTTGGATGTGAACAGCTAGAAGACTGGTAGTGCCTGCAACTAAGATTTAGAAGGTTTTGTGGGAAAGATTGTTAAATTTTGGATGCAATTAAATTTTAAATGTCTATCCACAATACTTAACAACAACAACATTTGACACCCAAGTGGAACCATAGTGTAGGCAGATCTTGATGTACACACTGGACTTCAGGAAGGAGTCTGGACCGGAGATACATACTTGAGAGTCAGTGTTTGGATAGTACTTAAAAGTCAGGAAACTGGATAAGCTCACCAAGAGAGGGAGTGAGTGTACATGGAGAAAATAAATGGAGGGACAAAGAAAGGGTGGTCTGAGGTAGTAGCCGCCAAGGTTAGGCACATTTGGTGATGGGAATCCAGGCCTCTTAAACACTTGGGACTTGACAGTAAAAGTATGAGGAGATCTATAAAGCTTGGGTATTGAGACTGGAGGTTTTGGCCAAACCAAATTATCTGATCCTTTTTATAAAGGTAATGATGCTGCTGGTTAAAAAAAAAAAAAAAAAAAACAGAAATAAAAGATTATAAAGTGAACACTTGCTCTTCTGGTTCCATTCTCCAATGTCGTCCAACTTTGTTTCTTGTATATCCTTCCAGAAATGTTCTAAGCACATTGACATATATATATGTTTGTGTTTTTTTCTAAGTTGTACATCTATTTGTATATTAATCTTTTTTTTACTGTACAGGTTGAGTATGAGGAGTCTTCAAAAAGTTTATGGAAATTTTCCTTATCTTTTTTTTTTTTTTTTTAAGTGTTTTATTGTGAATTATGTGATAGTTTACATGGGAGAACATTAGCTTTATCTGTTATTTTTTAATTGCATTTGTCTACAAACTTTTGGAAGCCCCTCAGATACTTTTCCATCTATGCATACACTCACAGATTCCTAAGACGAAGAGAACACAGGAGTTGGATTACAACCAATTTAACTAACAGGAGCAGGAATTCCTACTAGATGATCCTTGCTGTTCTATTTGAACATTGTGTTTAAATCTCATTCCAGTTGGGATTATTTGGAAATCTTTTTTATTAAGCTAAAACTGGACTCCCTGGAACCTTTGTGTGTGAACCATAATTATTTCAGAAACCCTAAGGAGCAGCAACTGTTGGACTATGAGTTGGAATTGATTCGATGGCTAATGGGTTTGGTTTGGTGTTGGTCAGTGCTATATAAAAGAGCTCTGAACTTCAGTTATAATGGAACTCTGCCACACTTATCTTAATTTTCTTGGGGAAATTCTGAGGTAATAATTAGTGATGAGGTACAAGGGGCCTTTAAAAAGTTGTGGGAAACTGGAATTAAAAGCTAATGGAACTTGTCCACAAGCTTTTTGAAGTGCCCATGTATATAATCTCAAATAGAGATTCAAATTTAGTCAAAGCTTGAAAATTCATTCCCCTTACCAGGTGAGAAAGCCAACCACCTTTAAAATTTGGACAAGTAAGAAGATGGGTAGGAGTGTGGGGTATAGGCAATTAAGAGGTATTTATTTTACCTAAAAGTCGTCCCTTTTTAAAAAGTGCTGGCTAAACCATGTGCCAAAACTAAGAATTTTCTTATTTGAGATTATTACGTCTACCTTTAATAGTTTCCAAGGCTAAGTTCCCCAAGGTGCTTCACCTGTCTAGATGATGGAGATTTGAGGACTCTTGACATTCTAGTGGGTCTCCTTTGGATGTGCTGCACCTGGCCTGTGTTCAGAACTATACTGATTTTATGCCAGGAATTAGGCTAGGTCCTATGGATATGCAGGAAAAGATGTGGCTCTGTGATTATGGCACAGAAGTTGCAAACTAGTCAACAGATGTGTGTGTTTAAAAATGGAAAGGGCCGCTATTTTCCTCTGGCATGCCACAAAGATCCTGGTGTCACAATGGGCTACTGGTATTCTAAGAACAAGCCGTACCCCAGGGCCCACATCTGCCGAGGTGTAGGTGTCCCTCATGCTAAGATTTTGTATCTTTGACCTGGGTTGAAAAAGACAAAAGTGGATGAGTTGCTGCTCTGTGGCCACATGGTGTCAGATAAATACAAGTAGCTCTTCTCAGAATACTTACAGGCTGCTCTTATTTGTGCCAACAAGTATATGGTGAAAAGTTGTGGCAAAGATGGCTCTTACATGTGAATGCGGCTGCATCCCTTCCAAGTCATCCACATCAGCAAGATAGCCTGTGCTGGCTGACAGACTCCAGATGGGGATGTGAGGAGCCTTTGGAAAGCCCCAGGATACTGTGGCTAGGGTCCACATTGGCCAAGACATGTCCATCTGCACCAAGTTAGAACAAGGAACATAGGATTAAGGCCCTATGCAGGGGACCAAGTTCAGGCTCTCTGGGTGCCAGAAGTTCCACATGTCCTAGAAATGGGGCTTCAAGTTCAAGACTAATGAATTTGAGGACCTGGTAGCAGAGAAGCGTCTTCTGGATGGCTATGGAGTCAAATATATCCCCAGTTGTGGCCACATGGACAAGTGGAGGGCCCTGCATGCATGAAAGCCATGGTAACACTGCTCTACCTGATCTGTGCCCACTAATCAATTAATTCAACTTACTGTCTCAAAAAAAAAAAGTAAAGGGTCATAGGATCTTTATTTTTGGGTTATTTTGAAGAATCGCTATTTGTGACTGAGACTACACCCAGCTGCTGCAAATAGTAACAACTCACAGCTGACCATAATTTGCCACCAAAGTCCTACAACTCTGGTTACTTTTATACCCACCTTGCTAAGTTTCCTCATTAAGAGCAAAGAGTACTTGCCCATAAAGTCTTAACACAGTGCTTGTGGCCACTTGATACCTGTTGCGTGAAGAACCGCAGTCCAGAGTGTCTTTCCATCCCAGGATGCTATATGCCTTTGCCTGTGAAACATGGTCTTCTGTCAGCTGCCTGGTAGGCTAGCTGCTCCAATCAGGGATAATGTTTCTTGGTCCATATGCTAATCCTTTGAGAGCATTTCTTCTAGGATTATTAGTATCTGCAGAGGTTGACCAGAGACCACCATCCATAGGGCCTGTGTCCCTATAAAATATTAAGAGACCCACTGACAGTGTAGGAGGGATTTGTGACCTGGTGGAGGTGGGGGCAATGCCTAGGGTCCTAAGTAACAAGGAGGTAACTTAGATAGGAAATGAGGAGCAAGTAAAGAAAAAGAACCTGTTGCTGGGGTTATGTCCTGAAAATGGTGAGACTTAGAAGCTTACTGATAGAGTACTTGCTGGGTGCACCAAGTGTCCCCTTCCCAGGGTTGGCAGACAGTGGTATAGTCCTCACCTTCCATGCTGGAGGTCTGGCCTAGGCCACCTGCACAGCCAACACCTATCTGTTCAAGGAGGCTTGCATGTTACTATGATTCTGAACAGATTTCAGTGACGCTTCCAGACTAAGGCAGACTAGAAAGAAAAGCTTGGCAATCTACTGAAATCCTATGGATCACAATGTCAAATCTGCCTTGTTGTTTTTGTTATGTGCCATCGAGTCGGTTCCGACCCATAGCGAATCTGCCTAGTTGGTCATTAATATAGCATCAAACCAGGCAACTATTTATTCCATTGTGCATGGGGTTAGAAGACCCACTTGACAGCAGCTAACAGCAAGAATATCAGAAAATACTAGGTAATTTCCATATTTCATGAGGGAGTGAAACCACAGCACAGCCAAAAGATCCCTGGAATAAAGCTGACCCATGATCAAGGAGCATGGATTAAAGATAATCTCCCATTGTGTTGCTTTCCCTGGTGCTTCCTGCCTCCAGCAAGGAGCTAGAGAGCCATCTCTCTCCTCCAGCCTTAATCACCAGATTGGCAGTAAAAGAAGTTGACAATTCAACTGCTAGAGATTGTTGATAGG